TTAGACAAAAAAAAAAAAAAAAAAAAAAAAAAAAAAAAAAAAAAAAAAAAAAAAAAAAAAAACATAATACAAGGTGGGTCCAAAGTACATAGGACTATAAAAACAAAAAAAAACAGAGCAAAAGGTTTTTCGGCAAAATTAATTTATTTTATTCAAAAAAAAAAAAAAAAAAATTCAATCTGCATAACGCTTTCCTTTCACGGGCAAATGCATTTTTCCGAAAAGGAAGAAGTCCCACGGTGCCATATCAGGTGAATACGTGGAGTAAAATGTGATTCTTGTTGGATTCTGAGCAATTTTTGGTCTTCAGTCAATTTGTGCGGAACAAACCTTCCTTTCGTAAGCCCAAATGTTTGGTCAAAATGCAATAAATCAATGTTTTGGTGATGTTCAATTCCATTTCTATGAATGTCAGTGAGTTTCGATTAATTCGCACACATTTTCGATAAAATTTCCAGTGATCACGGACTTTGATTGGCCCACATGGTGATCGTCATTTATGTCTTAACGATCTCTTTGAAAACCTGAGACTCGTGCAGTCTGTTACGGGGTAGGCAAATAGCCATAAACTTGTCTCATCAATTGAAACGTTTCTGTAAAAATTTAACCAATTTTAAAACAAAATATAATGTTGGCTCTTTGTTCGAAGCTCATTTCCGCACCGATAACACAAACATACTGACACCACGTCACTTCCAATCGATGAAATCAGTCGACAAATAGATGACGTCACCAGAGGGGGCTAGATTCAAAAAGTCCTTTTTACTTTGGAAAGCACCTTGTAGTTATAGAATTCAAAATAATATTCAAATTTACCCAACTGAAGTGTGGTATATCCGCCGTACTTAGCTTTGAACTCCAAATAAAAAGTTTGGTACATAGAGGCATTAATATTATAATAACGTCTTGGTATGAGGTCCGTTTAAACATTTAGGCTACATAAGAAAGTTTAAAGAAAGTTTTGGAAAAATTGCGATTTATTCCCTTCTTACTCGATATACTTAACCCAGCAATGCTGCATACGACTTCATTAACCCGTCTGTAACCGTTCGTATACATTTTGTGGAAGTCTACAAAAAAACCTCTGCGCTGGCTACCACCTCCTCATTCGACTTTCTGCCCGGCAAGTGACTTTTTCACGTTTGGTAATGAAAATAACTAGTAAGAAGCCAAAACCGGAGAATACAGCTGCGTTGTCATGGTGGAAGAGAACTTTTGAACTCTTTTCTTCGCCTTATAATTGGGCATAATAGAATCTCGTGACAGTTTTTTGCTTATCAAGGTAGTCGGTATAGACCACACCTTGTGAATCTCACAAATCGTGGCTATTAAATTTCCTGCCGAGAAACAAGTACTTCGGAGCAGGTTCGACGCTGAGGTTCACAGAGCTGAGTGTTCCTTTAATATCAACCAAAAGGGCTGATTTCAAGATGATTATCTTACAATGAAAAGTATACTTTCGACACTAGACATAAAATTATTCACTGAAACTCATAATTAAAAACAAAACTAAATTTAATTTATGTCATAAAGAATATTTAAATGCGGAATATAGTTTCTGAGACACCATAAGATAGATGTTAACAACAAGAAACAATAAAAACTACTGACCAAGCTGAAGTCTCGAAACTATATTAACTAATTTCTTTGGGAAAAACTATCTACTACTATCCCTGTTATTTCATCGCCGCTATTTGGAAAAGTGAGCACATATATATATTAAAATACATTGTGAAAGATGGTCAAGAGATCGCTGAAGGCGTGTCTCGTCCTAGACGACCTTCGAACTAGTGAAAATATTAAAAACAGTTAAGGATATGCTGCTTGAAAATGATCATGAAATGAACATCTCTAGCGAGTCCGTTCGAATGATTTTGGTGAATAATTTGAGTATGAAACGCGTTCTTGCTCAAATCGTTCTGATAAAGGTAAATTTTTTTCAAAAAGAGTGCCGTAAACTTGTATCCAATCTTGATCGAGCGAATTCTCATTCATGGAGAGCTTTATAACTGCCGGTGAGACATAGGTTTAAGAGTTTGATATGCAAACAATTCAACAAGCAACGGAATGGAACCCGTTTCTCCTCTATCGAAAAGATAAAACAAAACATGCTGAAGGAGCTAAATGAAATTACAAAGAGTGCTTATGAAAAGTGTTTCGAGCACTGAAAAAACTATTGGCATTATTGTACTTGTATTACATTTGGTGGAGATTACTTTGAAGGCGACAAAATAAACATTTATGAATAATAAATAAAGCTATATATTTCTTGTCGATCAAATTCTCAGAAGATGTGGACATTATGGTGTGGTTTAACCTGTCAAAATTAATTGTGAATTGGAGTTGTGAATCTGTTTCTCACAAAAAAAATCGGTATTAAAGTGAGCTAGAATTGAAACTGTTGGTAATACCTAAAATAAAGTAATTCACATACCATTGGAACGGGAATGGAAATATTCACTTGAAGCTTGAAAGATTAAGCAATGTGTATGTACTGCACTTTACTACATGTATCATTCGTCGTGATAAAATTTAGGCCAAATTGTTAAGTCAAAGATATTACAGTCCAATTAATATACATAAATACATCCTTTGCTTAATACCTGTATTTACAAAATATGACACCTTTTTATTACAGAATTGGATTGATAGATTCTATCATCCGGAAATTCCTTGGCAAGTGTTTCATATCTGTCAGTTGCATACCAAGGCATTGAAAGCGGAAACCGAGGCACTCCTCTTTTATATATAATATACAAATTTATACATAGCAAACATGATTAAATTTTTTCACAATAGAGGAGTACGTCAACAGACAGGCATGACTCACGTGGATAACCTAAGTGCCGACCTGTTGCACAATGAGGATTGTCAATAATAATTTATGCTATACATTATATACCCTACGGAGGCAGTGTAAACATTCGGTGACTTTTTTACTCTAAATACTATTTTTTCTTATTTCTTTAAATAACAAATGGTATGAAATGTTCGTATGCTGACACATACAAAGATGTTACTACCAACATTAAATCCATACGATTTTAAGTCAGCCACTACCAACAACAGATACGTGTACAAGTTTGCTGTCGAACAATTAGCTTATGAGTTTACAAAAAATGCATCAAAAGGAATTTCAGGTGTTAATAAAGCATTGATTTTTGGGACAAATATACTGTTGAAACCATGTATAGATTGTATGGTATGGATTGATCAATATTTTATAGATTCTGCACCAGGGAAATCAATCGTTGAAAAGGTGTTTGCTAAACGAGACGAAATGAGCACCGAGGACAACGAAGGCAGTGGACGCACTAAAAAAGGTGTTACCGAGGAACACATCAAAAAAAAAAAAAAAGAAAAAAAAAATGCCAAAACAATGCCGAATGCCGTAAAGTAAAGTTGTTCGCGAAAACTGAGACTCTAAACATATCAAAGGAACGTATGTATTAAATATTTTGTATATATTGTGAATGAATATTTACGTATATAAAAGCGACAGTCAGCCGAGTAGACTGCACATGATAAACCGACCCCAAAGCGTGGAAAACTATTTTCAAAATGAACAAACCATTAATAACCTCTATTTAAATGCATTATTGGAGCGTTCGCGAAAACACTTTATTTAAAAAAGAAGAAGATAATATGTATATTGAATAATAAAATCAAATTTTATCATAAAAAAATGTTCAGCTCATTTGTTATGAACATGCAAACAATTGACATCACTAGGTCAGACCAGACCGATAGGCGGATAGAGTGAAAATGCGCCGCAGAAAAGAATAAATATGTATATGAAATGATACATCACGTCTAACGAATCAAACTGACTAAATTATTGAAAATAAGTAAACAAAACTAACTAACGGAAGAACGAAATGTTCGAAAGAGAGATCGTACTAAAAAGAATGGCTGCGACAAAGTCGATGCATATTTCCAGTCTGATTCATTCATAAGCAACTAATATGAGACGGTGCTGACTACCTGACGTCTGTAATACATGTGGTCATGCATACACAGAGGCGTAGCTAGGAAGAGATACGCTTAAGATGGCTGTCTGTGCTCATCTCAATTAAAATTAGAAAAATATTTATTAAAGTTGTCCTCGCTATTATATTTGAACCTAACTAAGAATGTGAGGAGAGTGTAAAAAATTTTTTTGTTAATGTTTAAAAATATTAACTAATTTTTGGTTCTTCAACAATATGTTTTTGGAAAATTGAACACTTATGTATATACGTAGCATTAAGTTTACTCGAGCATATTATGGGTGTAAAGAGAATTACTTCAAACATTTATTGTAAAACAGAATCAAAGCTAAAAAGCTTACTATAATTATTTTAAATTATTTAAGTAATTTTCTAAATAGAAAAAGATCTCATTAAGGAGTCATATTCGTGGTGAATTTCAAAAAATCTATGACGTATACATACATATATTCTTATATGTATATACATCGTATGTAGATATATGAATTTGAGCCGGTGAATATTTTGGAGAATTGAGCGAATTTTCCAAGGTTTATTTACATTATTTACATGCATTGAGACAAAAAGCACACCGAAATTGTAATTAGTTTTCCCTGGTATACAATAATTCAAAATAAGTATGTCTCGTTCTGGATGACTCTTCGTCAGGCAAGTGTTAGAGAAATAGCAAGAGAGTCTGTTCGAATAACATTTGTTGATAAAGCTGAATTCTTTTCAAAAACCGTACGATTGTAACAAAGACGCAATGAATATCATCAATCAACCATAATAATTAATAGGGAAACTTGATAAAAAAAAAATATGAGATATGATAAAAAAAACATCTTTTCGGTGCTTGGTCTCGAGATCGGCTATAGAATCAAGGGAATTAAAATTTTTTGGGTATTTGAGCTGTACTGTTATGCAATAGAATAAATTATTATATTTTTTTCGGGTGTATCGAATAAATAATAACCAACAATAACGAATGATTATATAATGTATATAGTACTTATTATATTATTTACTCACTTAAAGTTATGCCAGATGACGATTTCATTGATTGAATGAAGGAAGAACCTAGAAAGAGACAAAAAATCATTAATTTATGTTTCTCTTGAAATGTGATGAAAATATTTTAAAAACATATGTATATCTATAAAAAATAATATAATTCCTTAATTACTAAGTTAAACTTTACCCCTCCATATTAATTATCTACTAAGCTGCACTGCTCTGCACTGAAATAAATATATACACACCTACATACTCACACATAAACTCGTTGAAACGAGTTTGATGGTATTTTAGTAATAGCAAATAATAATGCTCAATGAGTACAATAAAGTATTTATGTCTGTGCACTTGTTGAGTAGCAATAAGTGTACATATGTATATCTCGATGTGCGTACATGTGGAAAGTAAAAATTGGGATCGCGTGCAGGATTGTTGAGTTGTTGGGCGCAACCCAGTCGAAAAACTGACGAAGCAAGTTAAATGCGGAATGAAAGGAAGTGATTCATGGAATGATTCTGTACTCATGTACCAAATTATCCGGTGAGTTGAAAGGAAGAACATTAAAATTTTGTAACTCTCTCAGCTATAACAATCGATTTGAAAACTATGAAAGAAAAACTCCGTTTTCCATTGAGTTTGTATTGAAAGATTAAAAGTTAAACGACTGGAGTGTTGAGCATCGTTAGTCATTCACTCAAAGAGAAAGTTAATAATTTTTGACTGCATGATGTAGAAGCTTTAGAACGACTCACCAGTAACCGTTTATTGTCCAGAGGCAATATTTACTAGAAAGAATATTTGCTGGGCGATTATTAATTTTTATACCCTGAACAGGGTATATTAAGTTTGTCACGAAGTTTGTAACACCCAGAAGGAAGTTTCGGAGTCCCTATAAAGTATATACATATATAAATTATCAGTATGTCGAGGTGAGTCGATTTAGCCATGTCCGTCTGTGTGACTGTCCGTCCGTCGGTATATATACTAACTGGTGCCTCAGCTTTTAAGATATCGTTTTGATATTTTGCAAACGTTATTTTCTCTTCAAGAAGCTGCTCATTTGTCGGTACTGCCGATATCGGACCACTATAACATATAGCTTCCATACAAACTGAACGATCGGAATCAAGTTCTTGTATGGAAAACTTTCACATTTGACAAGATATATTCATGAAATTTGGTACAGATTATTTCCTAAGGCAACAATGTAATCTCCAAAAAAATTGTTCAGAACGGATTACTATAGCATATATGTAGCTTCTATCCAAACTGAACACATAGTTACTAACAGAAATGCACGTGTAAAGGGTGTTTAGCTTCGGTGCAACCGAAGTTAACGTTTTTTCTTGTTTTATTTTTGATGAAAGAGACCGTGCCAATACCACATCAGTGATTTCTTAATCAACGTCTATCTTTAAACCAGAGCCCTAAAATTATGCAAATCTCTGTCCTCACATATCTGCCCTATTATTCTAAGAACTCAGAATTAGTGCATAGGCATAACATTAATTCATAATAGTTTCAGTCTGTAAATATTTAATCAAATCTGATTTTGGGAAGTACCAAAAAAAAAGGGCGATCGCCATATATTTGTTGAATTTCAGTCTGAATTTGATGGCTAGAAATTTTAATGGTTAATAAATTTACATTAGGCTACCATACCGATCAGTAAGATTGGCAAATATCTCTCGAAATTGTATGATAAACAGGGTTTAATTTTGAACAAATCATTCAAGTCTTCTTCTTTATTGGCGTAGACACTGCTTACGGCGCCAAGTCGATATACCTCATGCAGGTAGCTCCTTATTTACCTGATCTCGCCAACGGAGTAAAGGCCGTCCTTTTTTCGCCTTCCACCGACGGAAACTTAATTAAAAACCTTTAAAACCTCCTCCCGAAAATTCCCAAGGCCGGCTCATCAGATGTTGTCATTGTCCATGCCTCTGCACCATATAGCAGGGCGGGTATCATAAGTGACTTGTTGAGTTTGATGTTTGTTTGTCGAGAGATGACTTTACTTCTCAATTGCCTACTCAATCCGAAGTGGTACATCTCCTGCGTTTTATTTCGAGGCAGACGTTGTTGTTGGCGTTAATACTAGGAGGCTTATCCCACGGTAATTGGCGCACATTGTGGAATCCACCTTATTTATGCATTACACACTTATGTTTCAATCGTCTAGCATGCTTTCATCCGAATAAATCATGCTAAGAAGCTAATATATGCATCATGTGAGTTTTTCGCCGTTTTGGGTTCGTTGTCTCTAGATGTTGCACTTTCACTGCTGTTCAGCAGGATGGAAAAGTATTCACTCCATAACTTCAGTATGCTCTGAAGATCAGCCACTAGATCACCACATTGGGTCTTACAAGAGTATAGTCTGGTCTTGAAACCTGCCGTTTGTTACCTCCTCCTTTCGTAGAATTTCGAGTACTTCAAGTTCTTCATACTTTCATCTTCGTATTAAATAAGTAGTCCAAAAGTAGTTAAAGTCAATTCAAACTAAATTGTCTGACAATTTTCAAAGTGTTGCAGTAGAAAGCGACACAAAAGATGACGCACCCGTATATGCGTAAAAATGTCTTTATATTGCTCATAAACTCCTTTATGGCATAAAATTTGACTTGGTATACAGAATACTACCTAATACTAAATACATCATTCTATATTTAAAAAACTGTTTCTAAAACTCTGCGCTTTACGATTTTTTTAGCGCCCTAAAATTAATTAAAAACTGAATAATAAACATAACTATGTTCATATGTATCTACAAGATGAGTTCCAAAGTAAACAGGACTTAAAAAAAACACAGAACAAATGGTTTTTTCGGCGAATCAATTTATCCTCCTTTTGCGTCAATACAGCTTTTTGCATGATCCAAAAGCATGTCGAAGGAGTGTTTTAGCTCGTTGGCCGGTATGACCGCCAGTATGCCGGTGCAACCCTTTTGAATGACCTCTACGTCTTCGTAACGCTTTCCTTTCACGGGCAAAAGCATTTTTCCGAAAAGGAAGAAGTCGCACGATGCCATATCAGGTGAATACGTAGAGTGGTTAATGGTTAAAATGTGATTTTTAGTCAAATAATCGATCACAAACGTCACTCGAATGTTGGATTCTGAGCAATTTTTGGTCATCAGTCAATTTGTTCGGAACAAACCGTGCACACACCTTTCGTAAGCCCAAATGTTCGGTCAAAATGCAATAAATCAATGTTTTGGTGATGTTCAATTCCATTTCTATGAATTTCAGTGATGATTTCGGCTGAGTTTCGATTAATTCGCACACAGTGCACACACACAGTAAAATTTCCGGTGATCACGGATTTTGATTGGCCCACAGGTTGATCGTCATTTATGTTGTCCTCACGATCTCTTTGAAAACCTGAAACTCGTGCAGTCTGCTACGGGATAGACAATCATCGTCATAAACTTGTTTCATCAATTGAAACGTTTCTGTAAAAATTTCACCAATTTTAAAACAAAATTTAATGTTGGCTCTTTGTTCGAAGCTCATTTTCGCACCGATAACACAATCATACTGACACTTACACCGCAATAACTTTACTTCCAATCGATGAAATATCAGGGGGCGCTTGATTCAAAAAGTCCTCTTTACTTTGTAAAGCACCTTGTATGTAAAACTATTATTAATTTTGTGGTACACGCGGGAGTAACTGCAGGTCTCACTGCAACTTCTTGCACTTTGCACTTTAGCCTAATTACCCGAAACACTAACGTTTACGCAATGTGGTTTGAAAGGAATAAAAGGTGAAAGGTTATAATGAAAATAAAAAATGGAAATATAATATTATATACATATGTATTTTATTACATATGCATACACACTTTATACATATACCATATGTATGTATATAATATGCGCCTATTTGGAATGCAAAATATCATTTCTGTACTTCCATACAAGCGTATACTATATATAGTATATACACATACATATATAGCTATATATCGCTTGTATGTACACATTCAGGTATTTGTACGTAGAAATCAACAGATATTGATTAGTCATAAACCTGCTGGCTGCCCGTGGCGTATTAACTGTTTTTTGTTTTTTGATTTTTTGGTGCAATTTTTTTCTTTCGTATAACGTTTTTGTTGCTGTTGTCATTGCAGCGTTAAGCAATTTGGGCACGATATTCAATATTCGAAAAGGCAAACTGAACCAAACCAAATTTAAACCAAAATACCTGTATACGCACACACGCGCGCATATACATATGTATGCATACGCAAAGGCGAACAGAGACAAGACAAATAAAAGCGGCGCGACATACATATTCACCGCCGTACCGCCAAGCAATTGAACTGGGTTGTATTGCGAGTTGGCCGAAAAAATCGGTTAAACTCATATACAAGAGTGTAGGCACATATAAAAAGAAAAATTAATATGTGCATATACATGTGTGAATGTTCTGCAATTTGGTTTGTACCTGTTTTGTATCGACACCGAAATTCCAACACAGAACAGAGCTTTAATTGCCCTTATATTGGCAAATTTCGAATGTGAGTTGTGGCTGTACAGTGGGTTATGAGGGAAACATTAATGATAATGTACAAAAAAGATATGTATATTCGGCATAAGATTTTCGGAAAATTAAAATTTTTAAATTTTTTTTCAATTTAGATAAATCCAGTATATACAACTTTAAACTCCACTTTTCTCGAGACAATTTTTCAAATCAGGCGGCAATGATACTCAGATGCACTCATACGAATCCACTTGAAGAATGATTTTTGTAGATTTTTTTCTATTTTATTGCAGCTTTTTATAAATATAATTTTCTGCTAATGTTTCCGAAAAATCAACCGTGTTTTTTTATGTCCGGCATTTTAGAAAATTTGGTATGAAGGTAAAAACATATATATTACTCTCTTATATAGACTCCGGTCGCATTATTCATTCTTTCCAAGATTACACGATTTTAACGAATAACCGTCAAAAAATCAATTACCTAACAGAAGGATTTGAAGGAATATATGTAAAACCAATTATATCCATTTTACTACATTCACGATATGGCAAAACTCATCTCCCTTATAT